CTATCCCATCTACCTTCCGTCAAACCATCAGATTCCTAATCAAGTGGAGAGTGAGAGAAATCAAGGGTGATCCCAAAGCCTCGAGAGATTATTACAAGAATGCCTTCAAAGGCAAGAGCCATGCATTGTAGCAATTACAGAACAACCCAACCTTTCCGATTGAACCAGATCAACCATCCATGGTAGAGTTGGATGAAGTCTAGATACATGCAGATTTCCCCGACCGAAAGACCCAGATTGGCTCTCGCCTAAGGCTTGAGGTAAGGGAGTGACTCATAGACTTCCTCAAACAAAACCAGGACTACTTTGCCTAGTCCCATGCTAACATGACTGGGATTAGCCCCGAGGCCATCGTCTACCCCTCCAAGTAGACCCAAATCATACCCCAGTAAAACAACAGTAGAGAAATTTTTCTCCAAAATGCAATCGAGTCATCAACGAGGAAGTTGACAAGCTGTTTAATAACGGATTAATCCTAGAAGTGTATTACCTTGATTGGCTCGCCAACATGGTCATCGTAAAGAAAAAGAATGTGAAATAAAGGGTTTGCATAAAGTTCATAGATCTGAACAGGGCATGCCCTAAAGACTCCTTCCCAGTCCCCCACATCAACATGCTAGTTGATGCGATAGTGGGTTAAGAACTCCTAAGCTGTATGGACACCTACTTAGGCTATAACCAGACTCTGATGCATTCGGGAGACCAAGAAAAAACACCTTTTCTCATATAGAGGGGCACCTATTGCTAGAAAGTGATGTCTTTCGGTCTCAAGAATGCCGGAGCCACTTATCAACGACTAGTCAACAAAATGTTTGTTGAACACCTGCGAGATACCATGGAAGTATATATCGACGACATGCTCGTCAAGTCCCACATAGCCTGTCTTCAAAAAGTACAATATGAAGTTCAACCCAGTAAAGTGTTCATTCAGGATATCATCAGGTAAATTCTTGGGGTACATGGTGAATCAGTGTAGGATAAAAGCCAATCCTGAGCAGATCTGGGTGGTCCTGAATATATGCCATCACTCACTTGCATCAAAGTTGTCCAACACCTTACTAGGCGAGTGGCTGTCCTAAGCCATTTCATCTTTTGGTCAACTGACAAGTGCCACCACTTCTTCGCCACCCTTAGAAAATCCAAGAAGTTTAAGTGGACCATAGCCTGTGAGAAAGCCCTGCAGTAACTAAAGAAGTACTTAACATCTCCCCCACCCCTCTCCAAGCCTTTAACTGGAGAAAAGCTTTACACCAACTTGGCAATCTCAAAAACAACCATCTCAGTAGTTCTAGTTAGAGAAGACAATGCGAAGCAGCTACCAATATACTATGTCAGTAAGTCACTCTTTGATGTTGAAACTTGGTATAGCCAACTAGAGAAATTGGCACTCACACTCGCACTAATCCATGCATCCAGGAAGCTCCGCCCTATTTCTAGTGTCACTCCATAATTATCCTCAGCTCCCTCTCGCTCAAAAAGATACTTCATAAGCCAGAGTTATCAAGTCGATTTAGCTAATAGACAGTGGAGCTCAATGAGTTCGACGTGTCCTTCCAACCACACATTACCATCAAGTCTCAAGTGTTAGTAGATTTCATTGTAGACTTCACTCCTAACACTTCCATTCAAGCGGAGAGAGAGCTACTATGCATGACTAGCGGGACACCTTCGAAGTGGACTCTCTCGGTGGATGGTTCAAGTAATGTGAATAAAAGTGGGTTGGGCATTGTATTGATCACACCAGAGGGACACATCATCCAGCGGGACACCTTCGAAGTGGACTCTCTCGGTGGATGGTTCAAGTAATGTGAATAAAAGTGGGTTGGGCATCGTATTGATCACACCAGAGGCACACATCATTCAGATTCTTAACTCATAGTCAACCAATTGCAAGGCACCTACTAGGTTTGAGACTAAAAAATGACAACTTATCTGAACCTTGTCAAAGAACTCCAGTCAACTTTCGAAGAATTCTCAATCACCCAAGTCCCAAGAACAAAAAACATCCATCCTTTTGCTTCCCAGTCAACACTCTCATACGACTTGGGCACCTTAATTTTGACAAAATTAGGAATGTGATACAGTGTCTTGATCCTCTACACATCATTCTCCTTTAGCAAAGGCAGATAATCTGCATTTAGTATCCCACTCCTTGGGCTACTTGACTCTTCCCCTGAACCTTTACTCATGGAAGGCAAATTTGATGAACTATCAGACTTATCAGACTCTTCCCTACTCGTCCCTTGCCTCTCTAAACCATCACTTCTATTATCACACTCAGCTTGGGAACTGCCACACTCACCCCCTTCGGTATCCCTATGTGTACATCTCCCCCCTCTAGCTACACCACTATGTTTGGGGCTCTCTCGTACTCTTCGGCTACCTCCATCTCTGCCCCATTTGTCTCACCCGACTCTAACAATGACATCTAAATTCCAATTACTTAACCCATTCGACCCAAGCGACCAACTGAGTCTTCACCAAGGCACTTCTACCAAAACTAATCCCTCGAAGACCTCTTGCCTCTATGAAGCTCTCGGTTCGGTTAGGATGACCAAGAGGCTGCGCCTTCAAAATTCCTCTCTTCATTCAGATCCCACTCCAATCGGTCTGGGAGACTAGGTGACTTAGGTGTCTTAGCTCTAGTTCAAAAACACTTTTCTGCCTCAAGCTTTCACCCAACCACACCACTTGACTTGGTTAAGCAGGCTGAGATGCACCGAATAGGAACCTTACATAACCTGACTTCATTTTCTATCCTTCCAAAACCCAGGAACTCCAAAAATCAACCCAACACACCTACACCCTTGCCAAAACACAACCAAAATTTTGAAAAACTCCAAATCTTGCCCCCAAATCAAACACAAGTCTTGTATCTTTGAAGAAAAACACATAAACAACCACCAAACGCTCCAAAACTCTCAAAAACTTTCTTCAAAATACACCCAAAAAAAAAAAAAAAACATTTTCTCTATTATCCAAGCTAGAAATCTATGAATCGAGTAAATAATCGATCTCTAAATGATATAGAACCAAAAATCAATAAGAGAGAGAATCACGAAGAGCAAATTACCGTGAAGAGAATGCCGAAAAATTCCTTAATGCTCTGAAGTTCATCATCTGCAAAAACTCATTGTAGAAATTTTTTACTTGTGTTTTGAAATGAAGGCAAAAAGTTGAAAAGGGTGTAATTAATGTTGTGCGAAAACTACCTACAAAGCATGAAATGGAGCTCCATCAAACAACGCCATATGGCATATCCTTGTCACAAGAAACCTTAAAACTCCCACCTAAAAGCTTTGATATTCCTGCTCAAAGCGTTTTGAAATCCTAACCATACACGTGTTGCCAACCCACACACGTCTTGTACCCTAGAAGCACTACTGGATCTGCATGCTCAAGTATCACCACTTGGTAGACCTGATCGAGCGAGTACGCCCCAGTTGATGCAAACGACTCAATTCATTCATCATACCTAACCAACACAATCAAGACATGTTCCTTATTCACCCTCTTAGTCTGCCTGACCGAATGGGTATTATGCGAAGAAATCTGACCACACCTAGAACATGCTTTCTTCAACAAACTCAAGCAACTCACTCTCACTCGGTACTACATTCAAAGAGGTCCCCTCAAGAAACATTGCCTTATGTTCCCACTTGGTGCATCACACTAAGAAGATGTTTCTCTAGAGAATCAGCTATGATATCCCTCACTCGGTTCGATGCACCAAGTGAGAACATCTCCAATGTATGCGAATGTGCCCATTCGCTCGATTTGGTGCATCGAGTGAGAGCATCTTCACCATGATGAGTTTCATGTAACCCCACTCGGTTAGATGCATCGAGTGGAATACACCTTTGCAGAAATGCACCTTCTCACTTGATTCGATGCACCGAGTGAGATAGTCCTAAGTAATCACTTTTCTTCACTCAGTTTGATGCACTAAGTGAGGGCAGCTTCATAGCTTCTTGTACTTACCCACGCGGTTCGATGCACCAAGTGAAAACGCTCTTATAAAGTTATGCCTCGCACCCTCACTCGGTTTGATGCACCAAATGAGGTCTCCATGGGTAATCGCACTTCCTCACTTAGTTCGATGCACCAAGTGAGAACGCAATCGCAACCTACATCTCACACTCGTTCACTTGGTCTGGCAAACTGAGTGAGTCACCTTCATACAACAAATTTCACCAAGGATCCAGTTTCACAAACCGAAAGTTGGCATCAACATACGTACCCACCCAGTCGATTAGGCAGGGTGATTGAATGCACATTCTCGTAGCATTAACTACTCTCTAAGTTAAGCACTCCTTAACTTAGAGAGTGGGGGGCAAACTGTTAGGGCCAAAAAATGTCTTAGGCCTTAGTGAGCCCAAAAACGAAACACCTTCAACAGGGCTTAGAGCCATGGCCCAATTTTGATTGGGCCCACAATAGAATTCGCATGATCGGCCAACGCATTACACCCACTGGGTTGCTTACAGATTAAGCCCAATCACCAAGGCCTTGATCCACTTAGGCCTCACCATCAACTTATCTAGGCCCAGACCCATTGATTCAAGATCACCTACAAGACCTTAGGTTTACTTAGACCCTAAGGCCATCTACTTCCTATTTCAGTACTATCTAAATTCTCTCAAAGAGACCCATCTACATTCGAATTCGTCTAAGATCCGAATCTTAGGCTAAATAGGACTCTTTCCCCTACTAAGTCAAGTGAATTGAAGACTTTCCTATTCACTAAACCTCGACCATTATGGACTCATAGTCCTACTAGGATTCGGAGATCCTACGACTGCTATATAAACAGAGGCCTGCCCTTTCATAATTCATACAACATTACACCTTCAAACCCTCTAGTTCTCATTCTTGAGAGCTATACATCACCACCATTGTTCTAGTCCCCAACTAAACTTCTGGTAACCCTCTCTTTCCCTTACCCTCACTAAATTAGCCTCATTCACGTTGATGATGTTGCTCTTTCAGCAAGCATTAAGATGCATAATACAGAAGATCATGCATCCATTGATATCAAGAATTTAGCGACTTCTCTGAGAAAAGAGTTCGAAACATTGCATCCCTTATCTGATGAATGCTGCATCTATAGGATTCCTCATAATAGACGTCAATTAAACGTAGGGCTCTACAATCCGAAAGTAGTCTCCATTGGGCCACTTCACCATGGTAGGGAAGGGTTAAAAGCCATGGAAGAGTTCAAAAAAAGATACCTACAAGATTTTCTTCAACGAACCAAGGTAAGCATGGAAGAGTTTCTTACATTTATGAAGGATAGGGAAACAAGATTGAGAAACTGTTATGCAGAAACCTTTAAACTTGGAAGTGATGACTTTATGAAAATGATTTTATTGGATTCTGTCTTTGTCATTGAGTTCTCACTGAGGGCTGGCATCTTTGATGAATGGAATATTAGTAAGGACCGAATATATACAAAACCATGGATGAAACATAGTTTAGTCGATGACATGTGGCTCCTAGAAAATCAGCTTCCGCTCTTCATTCTTAAAGACTTGTTTGGTCTAGCTAAAAGAGAAGTGCATAGTAACCTTTATGAGGGAATATCCATGAGCAAACTTACTTGTGAGCTCTAGGAAGCAGCGGGTCACAATCTCTTGATAGGGTATGATTTGTTAGAAGAGCACTTCCCCAAAGCAGAACATTTTGTTGATTTGATAAGACTTTGTCTTCAGCCATCAGAAATAGGGATGCAAAATGGTGAACTCAAAACTCTAGTTGCACCAACTATAACAGAACTTCACCAGGCTGGAGTTAAGTTTAAGTTGGGGTCAAGCAATCATTTATTTGACATAAGATTCAAAAATGGGACTCTAGAAATTCCAAAATTGACACTAGTCGACGAAACACAAGCTCTGATCGCAAATTTGCAGGACTTTGAGGCTTTGAATTGCGAACCCACTTATGTGAATGATTACGTTGTCATTATGAATTATCTTGTGAACTCTCCAAAAGATGTGGAAGTACTTGTGCATAACGAAATTATTGAAAATTGGCTATCTGATAATGAAGATGTTTCAACTCTTTTTCAAAACCTTCAGTGGGAGACCAATGTAGATGGGGATGATTTCACCTATGCAGGTCTTATTGATGATCTGAAGGCTTACTGCAAATCCCCATGGCACAAGTGGAAAGCAACGTTGAAACAGAATTACTTCAACAATCCATGGGCCTCCATCTCTGTCATTGCAGCTGTTGTTCTCCTCATTCTTACCGTCATACAAACCATGTTTTCCATCATCAAATAGCAAATTCTACATGTTTGTACTTATAAGATATATGCTTTGCTTTTATTTCACTTGTATTACTAGACTGTTGTGCAAAAACGAATAAAAAAATAAATATAAGAAATTGAGGTATACATACTATGGTTGATTGTTTCTTTTATATGTTATCATCTTTGTCGTTTTAGATTTTCAATTGAAAGGCAATTAACCGTAAGCCTATGCAATGTTATAACAAATTATAGTGTGGATATTGAAAATAATTAGTTCATCTGATTTTTTAGAGAAATATTAAAAGTAATATTTCTTGTCTCTCTTTGATATGAATTGCATGTGAGTTTGTTCCAGGTATAAAGCATGTAATATTGATCATGGGTAAGCTAAACTTTACGATCCTGATTAAAAAAAAAAAAAAAAAAAAAAAAACCCACCCCTGAAAGTTGTAAGCTGTTGAATTATTTCATTTTTCTCTTCTCGATTAATAGGCATCAACTTAATTATACCCACTCTTAAGTCATGACGGAAGGATATAAGTTTCCAGATCTATTTCTTCAAATATAATGAACGTGATTCATGGTGACATAACACTTTTACCAATTCCTCCGTTTATTCCTTTAAAACTGCAATTTCCTGGAAATTTCTCCACAAAAGCAGAGGAGAAAACAGAGGCATAACAAAACACTGCAGACTTAATAAGCTTAATTACTAAGCTTATCTTTATGGCATTGCCAAAATATATATTTCTATAAGCTTGAGGCCACTGATAGAATCTGAGGTGAGACTGACTCTTCACCCAATAAGACATTGTTGAATGGAAAAATTACCTCCTCTTATAAAATAGTAGGCTTAAGCGTATTTAGTCGATGTAAGAGTGTGCTTAGCATGGTAAAATTTGAGGTAGGTCTGTCTCCTCATCTAATAAGGTCTTGTTGAATGGGAGGATTACTTGCTCTTCTAAACTAGTAAGCTTGAGAGTGTTTAGTCGGTGTGAGACTTTAACAGCCACTAGTAAATATGAAAGCTTTGCAAAAAGATGGGCTGAATAACTTATTGTATCAGTTGTGCTCCACCCGCTAGAGGAAGTAATTTCCCTTTCCAAGCATTTAACTTAATTTGGAAGAATTTCATGTGCTAGCTGCAGGTTGAAGATTTTTTACTCTTGGGTATACCAGTAAGAATTGAAATACCAGAATTTAACAGTAGCAATTAGACCATTAAAAAAAAAGCCTCGCAGAATTAAGATTCCATGTGTGATTATAAACAGTAGCATTCGCCTTAGATTGCAGTTTAAGATCCGTTCCATGACAATGAATGATTTTGGTTCTTAAATCCAACGACAAAATCATAAATTAAAATTACTATCAGTCCCAAAAATCCATATGCCATGTTTACAAATATATGAAGATCATGTGGCCCATAATAATAAACTAAAATTACTTCCATTTCCCTATGATTTAGCATATTATTAAAAAGGTCTGGAGGAAGATTCCATGTCTGAATATAAATAATATCATTAACCTTACCCAAAAATAATATAAGAAAATAATATCTAAGTTTAAAGACATTTATTTGCCAACTTCCCCATTATTTAGCGGAGATTAAACTCCTAAATGCATAGAATAGAAACTTGGCTTGGGCTTTCTGGATAAATCCATACCCAATTTTCTGGAACAAAATTACAGTTGTCAATTTGATATATTTTAGGGACAGTGAAAGAGACTGCATAAACCTTAAGGGGTTGGCCCGAAGGTCAAGAAGGTTTACTTCTTTTATTGACTTCCTGAGTTCAAACCATATTGGGATCACCTACTATATTTGTAATTTATCTTGAAACATTAGATTTATAGGGTGTTTAATGTTGAGGTTAGCTTGAACCCCGATCATCCCCCCCCCCCCCCCCCCCCCCCCCAAAAAAAAAAAAAGATTAATATGTGCAAAATATGTTCTTGACCCACAATTGATATGCAAGGTATATAATGGGGATAATTGTTTGATTGTTGGGATTATCTTACAATATCAGAGAGTCATACATGTTAGGTGAGACGTCCCAGCATATGATCTAATATCAAATAAGTGACATATATATATATTGATTATTGTAATAAATCATTAATTTATATGAACCGTAATTCTCAATACATACAAAACATGGTAGATACAGAATTATTCTTTATGAAATAATTTAAAGTATCAGTTGCAATTATTACTTATGTAGAATATTTATCTTTTTGTCAAACTTATGAATTGTATGTGTGCACTTGCTGTCAATCCTCTTATTTGGCTTGTCTCATTTGTTGTATGTGTGCATGTCATTTCTTAGTGCACATAGTTTGTTAGACATGAAGTCTTGATGTTTTGTCTCGAGTGTGTGTGCAGAATGGTCTGTGCTCACACTCCCGCTTCAGACTTTTTGCAACTTGACACATGTTGCATGTCTGATAAAGAGAAAAAAGGTGGTGTTTATCTTTATCTCTTGATTTTTAGGACCCTTCTACATGTATCTTATTTTCCTTAAGTGGTCATCGGGAATAAAGTTATCTTTCCCAATTTGTTTTGTGGTCCAAACCAAAAAGAAAGAATAATTTCCTTATTTGGACAAACATGGGTCAGCTCCTTGTTGGCTGACGTGGCACTGTTTTGTTGAGCAAGAAACTTTTCATTATATAATACTCTTTCTTGCGTAAATGAATTTAACCTTTTAATCTCTTATTTCATTTTACTCTAAATTTCTTAGAGTATTCTTTCTCTTAAGGTTCAATGTTCATTTTCCATTTCCTGCCAAAACCTCACCATATCAAACATAGATGTGATGACTACTGGGACGTGGTTTCTTTGCTGATGCTAGTGTGTAGCATCGGTGCTTGAAGCTTGGTGGTGTACAAGCTATTCTCGGGTGTGTTCCCGGCGGGAGGAAGCTCCAAGGAGTTGCTACACGTTAAGGATTTAAAGTGTGGTGCTAAGTGTCAAGTTGAACAAGAAGTTCTTTTTACTGTAACTTAGATCAGTTTTGAACTATATCCTGTGATGAGTTTTTAACTTAATGGATTGCTTCGATCTGGACAAAATCCCATGAATATAGGCTAAAAGTAGATTTAGTCGAACTATGTAAATGACTATGTTTTTTACTTTTTGCACTTGTGTTTGGTGTGGTTAAAAATTGAAAATCTGTTAAACAACTTGGTAATACTTTCGCTGTACTTTTAAAATAGGTAATTTAATACTGAAGTGTGTCAGTCAATCCCCAACAATTTATTATAATAATAATACTTTTTATAGTTGTAATCTGTGTCGTTCACTCGAGAGTTAAACAGATTTATTTTCTTATTCAAATGTTCTTCTTCATTCGTGCTTGTTCAAGTGCTTACTTTTTTTTTTTCCTAATTGATCTCTTGAAACAAATAAAGTGGGACGACTGATTTATAATCAAAGCTTAGTCTTTAATTATTTTTATTTCAGGTTTTTTCATAACAAATAATATGGGCGTAACTACACAACAAAATCAATCTGTTTATAAATTGATTGTTTCTAACTAATAATTATTACATTACTAAAAAATTATTGAATTTTAGACACTTTAAAAAAATGATATATTTACATATTTTTGAAAAAAACTAACATGGTAGTTAGAATCACCTTCTATATTTATACATAAATGTACAAGAGAACTTACGTAAAACTAACACCATTTTGTCGTATATGAAAAAAAATTGTACAAATAAGGAAGTAAACAAGCTAGCTACGAGTAAAATTTTATTACCTTATATTAATTCAATTATCATGACGACTAATTTTTTTTTAATTAAAAAAGACTTCGGTGTAAAGATCAGAGAGAAAAATCGAAAATTCTGAGAATTGATTCTTGTAATCATTGATTGATAAGTGTTTACAAAGCTCATTTATACAATGGAGCTACAAGGGAGTAAGGTAAGAGAGTGAACTGAACTGAGTAAGTAGCTCAAGCAGCTTAACCAGATAGTTATATTGAAACGACATCGTTTCAGTAGTATTACAAAGAAGCCCACACCTTTTGATGGTTAGACAGATTAGTCCTTTTAACTAAGTTATTCTTACATTCCCCCTTGAACTAGATTGAGTGTGCCTTGAGTAGTAGGATGTAAAGTCAAAAGGGTATTGCTTGTCACTTACCAAGCCTGTGAGGACTTGTTTGTAATTGTGTTGAAAACGGTGTAGTTTTGTTTACAAGCGTATTAGTTAACTGTTCAACTGTTTTCACTTTACTCTTTACATATAAAAGAGTAAAGTGAGCTAGCTTTGCAATGTAATGAAAATCAGTAGCTCCTCTTTCACAATTATCTCTGTTTTTCATTTAGAAATTTCTCAATCTTTACTCTCTTACATGGTATCAGAGCTGTGACTAGCGTCGATGGCTAAAACTCCTGGTTCGACCTTAGTTCCTTTGCCTAATAGCCTTGAGGAAATGTTGAAGGAAGCTTTAAATCGATCCACATCTACGATCACTTCAAGCCTACTAGTGATTAGTCCAAAACTCACTCGGGATAATTATAGATTTTGGAGTTCCCAGGTCCTCTTTGCTGTAGGTTCGCAAGAACTTGAAGACCACGTGCTCGGTAAAATTACTTTGTCCTTCACCTATAGTTTTTTCTGATTTAAACGTTGATAATGAATTCAGTCCACTCAGTGGAGAGCTTAGGGTTAAGAATGATTATGTCAAAGAAAAAATTAATTCGAATACATAATGTGGAAGAGAACAGATAAGTTCCTAGTTAGTTGGCTGTTAGCTTCAATATCAAAAAGTATGTTTGGTACTGTATCGAAGTGTAGGTATTCAACTGATATTTAGAGAGTTTTAGAGCATGAATTTGTTACAGACTCAAAGGCTAGGGCATTGCATATTAAGAATCTGTTACAGACAACTCAAAAGGGCAATCTAAGCATTTTTGAATATATCAAAAAGATGAAAGAAATTAGTGAGAGTTTATCTGCTAGTGGTATGATCATATCTAATGAAGATTTGTTACAGTATTTTCTGGATGGTTTAGGTC